TTTGATTCATCATTTTGAAATCTACAACATTGAGATATCAATAAATCTAAGTTTACTGAATAAATATGAAACAGTTGAGCTGAAAATCTTGCTTAAAAAAAAAAAAAATATGCAAAGAACACCTCCAGATTATCTGGAAGACATTATTTGAAGAATTATGAAAATAAAGATATAATATAAGCTACAGCTGAGAATATATTATCAACAATATTATATATTTTCCCATAGTGCATCATTAATATTAGTTCCCGACTGTTTGAAAACTTCTTTTGTCAGTAATGCATGACAATTAAAATATGGGTAAAGCTATTAAGTAAGGGGATTTTGAGCATAAAGTCACATGTAAGTAACTGAAAGATACTTGTTAACTATTTCATGAAGCAAATGTTAGTGCATACAACATAATTATAGAATACTTGTTTAACATTTGGGTGCCTACTGTAGCACAGTGACTAAACAATCTAGATTTGCAAATTATCTTCTCGTAATGGTTTCATTTCTGACTGGAGAGCTCCATATTGGCATTTTGTGCCAAATTAAAGCAGGTATAGTCAATAATTATTTACATGCATTGATTAGCAAGTTAACCTTGCAGGTTATTACTATTGTAGTGAGGTTGATCCTCACCAGGTGCTTCACATATGGCTTTATGCCAGAGAAAGCTAAGTTTAATAAATACCAATAGAGAATATTAATGTAGAAAAATGGTTAGCAACCAAAGTGTGCTATACTAGGCATCTTGTGTCAGATTAAACTTCAATATCATACCAGTTTGAATGTAAACTTTGCACAGCAAACAGTGGCAACAGTGTGTGTATCTTATGTAAGGTTTTTGTATAACCATAAGTAATACATGTGAAGTCATAGACTGTTGTATGGTGGTATGTAATCAAGTTACAGGTTGAATATCCTTTATCTGAACCTCCAAAATCTGAAAGTTTTTCAGGTGTTGATATGACTTCCCACAAATGGAAAATTTCAGAAAACACTGGGAAGATTCCTATGTGATATACAGCTGTTGTAAGTGACTTCATCTGCCAAGCCAAACTATGTAGCCTTCATTGGTGCCAGTTTTTGTTAGCAATCATCACAGCAACACCTTTGATCATGGATTACTTACCAAGTGTTTTCTGCTCAGTAAAGATATTATTCAAAAAGTCCTGCATTTATATATTTTTTGTCAGGAGTGACCATGCTTTTTGTACACATACAGAAAGTACAAACATTATTTTTATGTGAAATTTTATTTACACCACTTAAAGATCTGTGTGAGCATTACATGACTAGTATCATTATCTGTATCTATATATGCAAAAAATTTATTAAATTTTATATAAAATTACTTTCAGGGTATATTTTATTTATATAAAATTACCTTCAGGGTATATGTAAAAGCTGTGTCATAAAATGTAAAGTGATAATGTGTTTATGATTGGGTTCCATTCCTGACTTGCCACAATTTATAGATGCTATATACAAATTAAATAGCCTATATATATAAATTAAATAGCCTATATTCCACAATCTGAAAACAAAAACACTTCCATTCTCAAGTATAACTTTGTGGTAACTTGAAGGAAGAAAAAAAAGCTATAACAAAGTTAGTAATGACTACAGATGTATTCTAGAACACTTTCAGCATATGTTCTTGTATACAGCTTTTTTTACTGATTCAAGAAATTAAACAAACAAATAAGCCACAAATCATTAAAAATAAGGAAAATAAGAAAAAATTGTTTTTGATGACCAAAGATTTCATTATTTTTCATGTACTCATTTTTTTGTGTGTTCAAATTTATATTGGTAACATATATATTTCCCAACATGTAATTTTTCTACTCATTACTGCCTGTCAGTTTAACAACCACTGTCAACTGTAATTAGAGATAGAGCTGTGACAGATTCCAGAGAACATACAATTTCTATTCACATGCATATAACATTAAAACTCTTCCCAAATGACTATCATCTTACTCTATCATGATTGTTTGATCTAATTCATCACAAATTTTATTTGGAATGGCTACAATTAACTTATTTTTTTAAAGTTTTGTATAAATTAATGGACAACAAAAATATGTTGGAACCATGATTTTGATAGAATCTCATAGTAAAGTTCAGAGTCAGAGACAATGTAAATTTTGTAAAAGCTGAGATTCTTGTGTGTATATATATATATATATATATATATATATCACAATCAAACAGAAAGCATTTATCTTAGAGTACTTTAAAAAGTATTATCTCATGAAACATATGTATGTATAAAGAAAAGCAACTTACCACAGTAAGACAAAGCAATTCCCTTGTAAATATTTCTGGGTATTTCTTTTCAATGCTGTCCAAATAATTTTGCAATTTGGTGTAGGTGTAAGGAAAACAGTAGGAAAATTGGTAGATGTCATCTTCACGGTCGAAGCAGAAAATAAAGGACATTACATAATTTTTCCGATGATCTGGGCACCGATAATAGTAAACATTCTTGGCTGGAATTCTTACCCTGAATTTGAAAATCGGAAAAGAAAAATATAAATAAACTGAAAAGTGAAATTACTGACAAGTAAATTTACCATGACCTATAGAGATGGTCATTTAGTTTGATTAAACTGTTTTAATATAGTGGAAATTGAACAAAGTATAAAAATGGAGTCAGCTGTCATACAGACAGAGAAAAGGATTTGAAATTAAGTTATGCAAGCTGTTTAAAAAAAGATAAGGAAATATGTTTGTCTGAATAATATCCATATTCCATTTATTTTACAAAATCTTAATTTAACAAAAAGGAATCAGACCATTTGAAATCAACATTTTAAAAAGCCTATGTGTAAAATTAAATGAAAAGTGTCAAGCTTAATGCAAGAGAAACAGAAAAATGTGTGAACAGAAAATACCACTTATTAATTAAATGCTAAATATGAATCTCAGTTTCAAAGAATATTTAAAAAAATGTTTTTTAATCATTTCACGCCAAACAAGGTGGGAATACCACTAGTACAGAGAATGAAAGTGAGAGAAAAGATCAAGTATAGGCAGGACTGAGGAAAGGACAAAAGATGAATGGGATTCAAGAAGATAGAAAATGGCCATTGATATTGTACTTAAATTTTTGAAGATTGTACTTAGCAAGGAAGCAAGTAAACAGAAGGGAACACAGTCAAGAAGTGTAAGAAAAGAAACTGTTGGAGTTGAAGTGGTAGTTACATTTAGCTACTTAAACAGTAAAAGGGTGGGACCTAGATGCCAATCTAGTAGCATGCTGAAATTCATGTAGTTGGTCCACCAAGGTAAAAAGCTTATCAGAGCAGTTGCCATGAAAATATTTGTAGAAAAGACTGAAGGAAGGCCATATCATGTCTGTGAGAAAATGAATTCAAGATGCCAAATCAGGATTGTTTACATTACAGACCCTTTTTTTGGAGTTTGTCAAGAACCTCAAGATGGACAGCAGAAGCACCAGATCAGATATGGCAGAATTATTCAATGCATGAATGAATGGTAGATTTCTAAATGTGCAAGATGAAGAATTATCCACATCTAAATATAACTAAAATGAAAATTTATATTACTCTATTTTTGAACATCTTATTTGATGTTATTAACTGGTTTTACACGTCTTGAATATCAAGCTACATTCTGCAGCTTTAGGTTTCCAGTTCTTTTCTGATTGTGTAGTGCCAAGCAAACAAGCTTTTTGCAACACATAAAAACTCACTGGTAAATTTAAATTATAATCTATTAATATTATTAATTCATATTATTATATTTCTAATAACATTTATATAGACAAAAAGCAGGGTAGATTTTATTTAAATATTTTATTACTGAATAGATGAATATGTCATCTCTGTCCGAGATATGACAATAAGCTATATCCAGCAGTAAGGCCTCTACCCAGGAGGTTTTGAGGTGTGTGGAACCACCTCTTAATTGTTGTTGTTGTTGTTGTTCCCAGGTCCACCCTGATCTGGGGTGGTAGCACTTGTTAAGGTCCCATCTATGGGCAAATAGTTAACCCCCAAGACTGGGGTCAAAACACAATGAAATTATAAAAAAAAGTTATAGTAAAAATACCAGCAATACATTTTCATAGTAAAAAAAATTACCAGCAGTTTTTTAAAAGAAATTAATGTTCACAAGAAAATTAAATTTTGGCATTAAATGACCAATAAGGAGTTGATAAACTGCTAAACAAACAAATACTAATATGTCATCTATTTTATTGATTACCACTTAAAGTTCTTGGATCCTGAAGAATTCAAAGCAATAAAAAAAATATTTTGATAACATATAAATAACCAACTATTTGAACAATAGAAAGCAGAAAAGAGATATAATATGATGAATTTGTAGCAATTTTTTTGAGTTAATACAGAATGAGTAAAAAGTAAAAGTTTTCTTTATAACAGGTAAATGGTCTTGTAGAAGTTTAAACAGGTTCCTTTTGGATGCTTCATAATAAATCACACTGACAAAAGCAGATGCTCTTATTATTAATTAGTTCATCATAAAATCTTTAAAATATTATTACCTTGGCAGCTTTGTGAATAATGGCTTAGAAGAGGATTTCTTATTTTTAGTAGGCCTATTGATGCTTAATGCACCTTACATACAAGAGATAAGTTTTCCAAAGCAGTAGCTGCAGGAGACAATTTGATAATGAGAGAGAGAGAGCCTTCATTATATTGTTGGCTCTTCTCTCTTGTTTTAGCACCATGATTTACTTCAAAATAGGAAGTTGCATGGAAGAATTTAAGTCACCACCTCTCACTACTAATATCTCTTTTTATCCAATAGTTGATTGTTTATGAGATGAAGAAGTCCTTGTATCTCTAACATAGTGCCTCTGTTATTCTGGCTAGAGAGCATTTCACAAAAAAAAGGGTCTTTGATAAATAATTGTCTTCCATCTTTGATACATGATCTGCCAAGTGAATATGGGGCTTTTAAAAGCATACCTTTTAAAAGCTTATAGGGATGGCTCTTTTGAGGATTTCAATGTTTATAATGAAGTCACTTTGGTACATGTTGACAATGATTTACAGGAAAAACTATTGAGATCATTTGATAAAGTGAAAAATGATACTAGTAGACCCAAGAACCAGCTCCATAAAGATAAGTATACAATATGACAGCTTTGCTGACTCTTGTTTATATTAATGTTCTTATTGGTTCAAACACATTTGTATAGTCAACTGAGTGAAAAATTTAAGCCACATCATCTGTGAGCAGTTCTTTGACCAGCTGCACTTTAATCTTATTTTGGACTGTACACATGTGGATGTACATATTGCCATCATTCATCTTTTCTGTACTTTATACTATTAAACTATTATAAGTAATGCATATATTGCAATTATCAATGTAAAATTATTTACCATTTTGGCTCCCACTGGAAGGTCATGGTTGTATGTCTGTAAGGCCCATACAACCCTTCAGTGGGTTGTTTACCAATTTCTTTTCTATGAGGATTATTGAGAGTAGAATGCTATGAGTGACTGCTTATAAGATTGTGGTACACCAGAATCACATTTTTTTTTTAAATAAAATAAAATAAAATAAAAATAAGTATTTTTTATTTTCTGTCGTATTTCATTTCCTTTTGGAATTGCTACTGTTGTTATTTTGGGGGCATTTTTTTAAAGTGTTTACATACACAAAGATGTAGCATGCATTTGTGTGGATTGTGTGTGACTGTGGGTTGTAAAATGGAATCAGGTACTGAACAAGACACCAATAGTTCATGGGTAATAAATACTACCTATAATAATCTTGCCTCATATACGAAACAATGTCAACAAAGTCACTCATACCAAAATGAATTAAGATATAGTGTCAGGAACCTGGGACAAACAAAGGAAATGAAGCTTGGGAGCCAATGTGTTAAAGAGGAATCAGTAAAATTAATGATAATCTTTAGGCCAGCAACTATAAAAGACTTGATCTCATCCCAAACTATATTAAATTATGCAACATATGCTATGATAGATATTCAAATGATTTTTAAACATTTAATTGGCTGGCAAGGAAAGGTTTCCTCACACAGAGAAAGTTTTTATGTAAAATTAAAATAGTGATCAGTGTATAGTGTATTCTTTTCATTTCTTTAAGCTGAAAAGTTCAAGCAATTGAGAGAAATGTAATTTTTAAATGGTTGAATATTATAACATTATTGAAGACTACAGAGCACATTATAATGTTTGGAATCATGCATTAAATAAGAATGTTATGTGTAGGACATTTCTGAACACAGACTAATCTTGAATGCTAATATCTATAATTCATAGCTGAAGTGGTATTGTTGAGGTTGAGGTTTTTTCAATGTGGAATGTCCAAATATGTACCAGTTTGTAAGGTGAATGATAAAGATGGATAAATGTTAAGTTTGACTTTTTGTCTTCAACCAAACCAATTCAGAAGAAATGATTCCGAAAAATAATTTTATTTTTTGTATTTTTAATGAAGTCTGTATACTGGCTGAGTTCTCCTGATAAATCGACTCCAAAGGCTAGACTCTCAATTACTCTGTAATGATATCAAACAGTGTCTCTTTTCTCAAACTGATTTGTAATATTGATTTTTTGTAATTTCTTTTAGTTAAAACAATTTTGTAAGTTTCAATTTGTGATTGACAAAATTTACTCTTTACATAATTAATTTAGCGTAATCTAAGTTTAGAAAATTGTGAAATCATTCCCATAATCAAAATATATCATGTGACAAGAGAGAAAAAAAAGTAAAAAAAAACCCCAAAGAAGCAAAACAAAGGGCTTAATAAAAAAAGAGAGAAGACAGAGTAAGAGAAATAGAGATTGAAATGCACTTTTCTATCTTGAAATCTTACTACTTGCAGTCCCAATGAGGTGACAGACAGACATTTGTCACATTGAAGCGAAAAACATCTTTTCTCAGTAATTAGTTAGAAATAATTAGACAAGCAATCAATTGCAGGTCTCTCAAAAATGATCATTCATTAATATACTGTTGAATGTTGAATGAAAACAATTTTTAAATGATTAGTTTGTTAGGTTTTATTAATGAAGCACTTGAAAGCTTACTTGACAAGAATGGTGACAAGAAGTCACTCTAAGTGAAGATTAAAAGAAAAAAGAACTGACCAGATACAGTCAAGCACTCGGTATCAGTATTCAATGTACAATTCAAGTTATTGACCTATACTTATATTTTTTTTATTCTGGAGTTGCAGGTGGTGTAAAGAATTGTGGTTATGAATAAGAAATCGGAGAGCTGAGTTCAAATTCAAGTCAAGTTCATTACATTCACTTATGTGCAAATACACTTGGGAAAAATATGAATCCATCTCTTCTCCCTCTAGCAATGGGTTAAATAGCAGGACAGATTATGTCCTATAGCCTTGGTTGGCAACCATTATAGAGATGGTGACTCATTAAAAACACCCATCCCCCAGCAACCTGGGCCACTCATGTACAAACATACAAAGACTAAAATTCTTTGTGTGAGTTGCACATTCTGCTGCAAGGC